ATTGCCACCCAGTCTGGAGTGCAATGGTGCAATCTCAGCTCACTGCAGCCTCCACCTCCCAGGTTCAAACTATTTTCCTCCCTGAGCCTATCAAGTAGCTGGGATTACAGAGGCCCACCACCATGCCCAGCTAATTTTTTTATTTTTAGTAGAGACAGGGTTTAACCATGTTTGCTAGAATGGTCTTGAACTCTTGACCTCATGATCCACTCTTCTTTAATGCTTTCATCCACTTTTCCCCATCTTTGAATACTGAATTATCTACCCCTTTCTCCTATTGTCAAAATATTCTGTGCATGCCTCTGCTATTGTACTGTCAAAATAATAATTGGCTTGTCTTTTCAATTAGACTGTAAATTACTTGAAATAATTTGCATTCCACGGCACTGAACATACTGAACACAGAGTAGGTGTATTAGACCATTTTCACACTGTCGATAAAGACATGCCTGAGACTGGGCAATTTACAAAAGAAAGAGGTTTAACGGACTTACAGTTCCACATGGCTGGAGAAGCTTCACAATCATGGTGGAAGGCAAGGAGAAGCAAGTCACATCTTACATGGATGGCAGCAGGCAAAGAGAGAGAATTTGTGCAGGGAAACTCCTGTTTATGAAACCATCAGATCTCGTGAGACTTATTCATTATCATGAGACCAGCATGGGAAAGACTTGCCCCTATGTTTCAATTACCTCCCCTGAGGTCCCTCCCACAATATGTGGGAATTCAAGATTGGAAAGTTACAGCAAATTCTGCTTTACTTTGGTGAGGACACAGCCAAACCATATCGATAGGTGTTCAAATAATGTTGAATGAATGGATGTTTACAAATATAGCCTTCTGAACCTCAAAGGAAAAGTTTGTTGTGTCTACTATCTCCAAGACTGTTGTTTCCTAAATGGTGTAAAAGGGTTATTTCAAAGCAGAGGTGAAAAAGAAAAGAAAATCATATTTATCAAGTTGGAATATATTTCTAGTTGATAAATGGTAGAAAATAGACTATCCAAGGAGTAACAGACTATAGAATTCTGCTAATTTTGAGTGCTGTAGACTTAGATTCTGGGCTCATTTGTGAATTTGACTAATTCAACTGTCAAGGAAAGGCTGGGCATGACCACAATCCAGGCAAGGCAGGACAGATAATCCCTATGGTCTTAAAGCAAAGCAGGAGCCCTGGAGGTAGCAGGTATCCCTGAGTTCAAGTCCTGCCATCACCACTTACTAACTCTGTGATCTTGGATAATGGAAATGATAAGACCAATTTTCCATGGTATTTTAAATGTCCAAAGGGATAATGCACATACAGAGTATTAGTTCTCTTTCTCTGTGTCTCAGAAGGTGGTTTGGATTCTATCAAGTGCTCTGAATGCTGCTCAAATTCTCCTTCTCTGTTCCACCAAGTTCCTATTCTACAAAGAACTTTCAGGGAGTCTCGGTAGTCATTCAATGCCAGCCATGTCATTACAAACGAATGAATTTCCATTTCTCCTTTAACATATAACACATATGCTTCTTAAATGTTCCCCTGTATCCCAATCAATAGAAATTGAATCTCAAATAATACATTGAAGGAAGCTCCTTATTTAGAAAACTGAGATGCATTTCCTCTGTCTTGGATTAACACGACTCTTTCAGACTTGCTGGTTAGCCTCTCTAAAACCACCCCTACTCCAAGGAAGGGGAAGATGGATCTCACTGAAGAGGTACAGTTGCATCTTTGAACTGGCTGGTCATTGCCTAGATTGTGGCAACAACTCTTCAGGATTGGAAGACGCACAATTTGAATATTGGAACTTGAGGCCAAAATCTATTACTGGTAATGTTGCTTTACATCTTTCCTATGAATTAGTACAGATTTTTCAAAAGAAACTCTAAGCATGGCAATGACAGTAAAGCAGAATTTGCTGTAACTTTCCAATTGCTGCTAGTTTCAATAGTCAGTTCGCAACATCCTTCTTTATTCTTTTGGGTTGTTTTATTCGAGCCTCTTTTTATCTGCTTATAAGATAGACATGGATAGACACCTGGAAATCAGTTAGCTTCATCATTTTGTGCATGTAAATGATCACATTAAGATGAATGCAAATGTATCTCACCAAACCTTTTCAGAAGCATAAATTTAATTTTTAAAAATTTTACATATATGTGTGTTTCGGAAGATCTCTGCTCTTATTCTTGTTTTTGCCTGTCAGAAGATCGATGATGCATCAAAAAATCACAATAAGTATTTATAAAGGAAACAGATAGGATCCATTAGGTTTTATGCCACTACTTTTTAGAAGTATAGTTTCTCCATATCATTTTAAATTGGACTTTGATTTAATAACTCATCAAGGGTTGGATACAATTTCAATTGAGTAATGCTAATGTAGAAAAAAGTTGGAGCCCGGCCAACATAATATGAGTGCCAAGGGACCACACCTAATTATTGTGACCCAGCCCGAGATGTGATGCCTTGTCTTCTGAAACCAACTGCAGTGAGAGGAAACATGCCAGGGAGAGGGCATGCCAGTTTGGCCTTATGTGCCCTAAACTTGCTGCTTAGGTTGATTAGTGGAAAGAACAAGGGCTTTGTCGACAAACCTCAGACTGAATTCCGGCTGTTGCACTTGTAACCTTGAGGCCTTGAGCATATTACTTAACCTCTCTGAGTCTCAGTTTCCTTTCCCATAAAACAGGGATTATACCTCCCCTGCAGTGCTGTTTGTAAAGATGAAATGAAATACAATAACTCATGTCTGATCACTAGGCCAGCACACAGTGGCTCCTCCAGAACTATTCATTCCTTTGCTTCTTTGTCTTTCTGGGTAGGTCAGATTAATGCAGGTCATTGTTTTTCGCAAGTCACTGAAAATAGCTCCTTCTATATAACGATGCCGAGATTCACTAGGTCTTTAGTACTGTAAACAGTGATACTCATGAAAGTTATAGAGAGGGCATGTGAATTGGAGCAGGATTATTTCTTAAAATGTTCTTCTCATTTTTCTTCTTTTTAGATAAGAAAATGAAAATTACCCCATATGTAAAAATGTATCTGATTTCCCTACCTCTCTCCTAATTTTATTTATTTGTTAATGTCTTTTGTGTCAATTTATTTATTTCTGGCAGACCAGAGAACATGAATCAGAGCTTTAGAGAAAACAGCAAATTGCTGTCTTCCTTCTCCAGCCTGGGCCAGTTTCATAGTTTCCTCGAGGCAGATCTTCTTTGAGATTGTCTCCTGTAAATCAACAACAGGGATGCAGTTGCATCAGTCAGCATGTAAAATAACATGCTGTCCGCATAGAACGCGATGTGCAAAGTACCAGTGTAACTTGACATCCATGCCCCTTTAACACCTGTTTCCATAGCTACACTGTAATCCAGACATTTGAGAGGCAGGCTTGCTTCTGCCAGGCCTGTCATTTCAGGGAAATAAATTAAGAAAGCTGATGACAAGGCCTGGATTATACAATTTCTTTAGAGTACAAAGCAGCCCTGAAATCTAACCAGGAATGAACAGAGTTCAGATAAAATGGATAAAATCCATTTCCGGTAACCTTTGTAAGAAAATTTGAATGCAGCCTCCTTTATACATTTTGTTCCTTGACTCCCAGAAGCAGCATCATATGTTACACCTGGCAGCCGTATTTGTGGCACCATATTTTTCTTATTTTTAAGCGGTGGTACCATATTTTTTAAAATGAAAGTTTGGAAAAAATAAACAGATGGGAAGATACTGGTGGGGGGGGACATGGTGCAAAGAGAAAAAGAGAGAAAGATGGAGTTAGGCAAGTGCTAAAGGGCAGAGCGTCAGTACCAGACACTGAGATATTTGCATATTCACAATATGTTTCTGGCCCAGAGCACGTTTTCCTGGCGTTCTGTATGTATTTCTAGGTCTCTATATTTATCCATGTCTCTGGCTACATATGTAAGACTAACTTTAGAGGTGGTGTGTTTGCTGGATGCTTTGCAGTGGTACTTGAAGAATTTCATGTTAAATATGCACTGGCAGCAGGAATGAGCTGCTCTCACATAGGAAAGGAAATAGGAGGGAGGTGGAGACCCCAACCACAGTTCTGCAGTGTGGTGGCCAGCTGGAGACAGGGCCTTTCAATGCTATTTTCATCAAGTGGTTCTGAGCCAGTTCATTTATTTTTGGGATTCTCCTTAATTCCAAATGAAAGCAGGTGATACTAAAATCAGACTCTGCTGCTTGAGAACAACTACCCTCCTCCAAAAGACCCTCACCGTGTGATTTTTTTACCTCATGGAATCCAGGTAATGCTAGCTTGCTTGAGTGCATTTACTTTCTTATTCAGTATGCAGGGGAGAAGGTTGTTTTGGAAGCAAAGAAGGTAAGGAGAGCCTGAGTTTGAGGAAGGGGTTATTACAGGGATACGTGCTCTGGGACATGGCACGAGCCATTAAGGGAATGTTCTTATCACTAGTTGCTTTATTTTAATGTCCTTTTCTTCATGTTCATGGCCATCTCTGGGAAAACTGATCACTCAGCCTGATTATTATTTTTGGATTATTGGTAAAATTTACTTTTGACTCAATAAATTAAAAACTCGTTGGATCATGTACAATATTAAACTTTGCCTTTTAGTGATGTCTGAAATTTAGAATTTTATTTAAAATTGCTTTACAAGAGAAAATTTGCCAATGGGTTTGCTCTGATTGGTGAGGCTCTTTTCTAGATTGAAAAACAAAAGATAAAATTTGTGAAGTAAAATTATTAGGCTGGTGCAAAAGTAATTGTGGTTTTTGACATTAAAAATAGTGGCAAACCTCAATTAGTTTTGTAGCAATGTAATACAAACACATGAAAACTGAATATATATATGTATGTATACACACATATATAGTATATGTACACACAGACATTTAGTTGTTTTTGCTCATACTATAGTTTTATTAACCTTAATATTAACAAAAGCAACGAATTTTAAGCTAATATAATGGAGGTAATGTTTTGAAATGTTTAATTGTGCTTTACTCCTTCACTTTTGCAGTTATAAGCTCTTAATTCATCCCACCCAAAGCATCCATCTACGCAGGAACTGTGGCGAGAAGAAGATGGATGATGTTCAACATGCAACCTATGACTATGCAGTGAGAAAAAACCTGTACGACAGGCTATTGGTCTGTAAGAAGACTATCTATTCCAGTGGAGAAAAGCTACTTCTTTCGCCCTTGATGTCCTTGACAGGCTTACCTGCCTTAGGTAGTAAACTTTTGATACAGTGGAGGTATAAGTAATGTGATCCCTCTTCCAGACTCAGGCAATGGTAGGAAGGAGAAGAGAGAAAGAAGAAAGAAGTGAAGATAAGTGAGTTCTGAGTTTCATCTTTTCTGGCTTTCCTCCAACCTTATCTTGGAGGCTGTACCATGCATTCTGAATCTGAGGTGCCACCATGTCAAAGCCTCATGGTGGCAGAGAATGTGCTGAGGGTCTCCAAGACCACTTCCAGGATCAGTGATTTGCTAGGAGGCCTCACAGGGCTCAGCTTGTTTTGTACTCATGGTTATGGTTTACTACAGTGAAAGGATACAAAGTAAAATCAGCAAAGGGAAAAGGGGCCTGGGAAAAAGTTTGGAGGAACCAGACCCAAGCTTCCTTGAGTCCTCTCTTGGTGGACTCTCATTGGATGTACTTGATTCTCTCAGCAGTAAGGCATCCACGTGTAAAATGTTGTCTACCAGGATGCTCATTAGAAACTCAGTGCTCAGAGTTTTTACTGGGAGCTTCTCATGAAGGTATCCTCTTCCTGGTGGGTACCAAATTCCAGGTTCCCAGAAGGAAAACAGGTCGTCAGCAAAAACCACATTGTTTGCACAAATAATTGAGAGACAGTGATTTATTTTTATTAGTTAATATGGTGGGAATCCTCCCACAATCCAAGTCCTATACACTAGCCATGAGATAACTTTGTAAGCAGGCTTAAGGATAGCAGTCGTAGGCTTGCTGTGACTCTTTTCTGCACAGACGGTAATCAGGCAGAGAGGCTCTAGGGTAGACTTTCCTGGTAGCCTTCAATTCTCAGGTGGCATAGACTTTCCTGGTAGCCTTCAATTCTCATTGCTGTATGAAACCACCGTGGGACTGCTGTAGAGTCTGCTGTGTGATGGGATTGATTGTGCAGGACAGGCTGGGATGGGTGGGGATCACTGGTCCAGGTGGACAGCTCAGCAGTTAGGATCTGCAGCCAGCAGGAGTAAGGAGAGACCAAATTGTCCGGGGAATACCATCCAGAACCTTTCCGAGGGAGAAACAACGAGCGGTAAGTTCATTAGCCACACATAACAGCACAAATAGGAGGCATGATGACCAGGACAGAAAGGGATATCCCCTTGGATATTTGGTAAATATACAAAGACTAGAACAAGCTCAGGGGCCCCTTTCTTTCAACATCGAAGGAACACATAAGATGTCCTTCTGTTTCTATGCACTCAGATGCTCTCTTTGGAAGATTAATAGAGGAGAGGGTCGTGGCTGAACATTAGCTAGAAGACTGTTTAGGTTATAGATCATTGCTTTAAGCTAAAATGCACACTCAATGTAGTTTTTCTCCTACTTACCAGTGTATAGCTATTTGGGGAACAAATCCAGATTAGCGACTGAATAAATAAATCACATTTCTCCCCACATCTGCATTGTAATATGACTTAAACTCTGTGCCTTTACTGTACTAGTAATTTTTATTTAATTTATGAGAAAGGATACTAAAGATATTTTCCATTTCACTGACATAAAGCCCTTTTCCCCTTTTAGATATTTGCCAAAACTGAGGACACCTTGCCACTAGGTGCTCAATGTGCTTTAAATTCAAAGTCCAAGATATATTCAAACATGAAGCTCTTTTAAAGCCACTATGCAATAGTCTTCAAAAATGGCTGCCCACATCCTATACCTCCCTTACCCCTGCTAAGGTAAGGAGTGCTAATTCTTCTAGTTCTTCTTCCTTTAAAACCGGGTTGGCCCTTGTGATTTGCTTTGATCAATAGATTGCAGCAGGAATTCATAGTGTACCAGTTCTGAGCTGTCTTTTTGAGGCCTGACAGCTTTCTCATTTTCTCCTGGGAAGCCTGCTGCCATGTAAGAAATCCAGCCACCCCTGAGACCACCAGGCTGTGACTATGTTCAGATATATATTTGGCAAGGCCATGGGGAGGAGTACTGTGAAGCCCTGCCCACAGGAAGAAGCAGGGCCCCAGACCTGTGACCCCAGCGGAGCTGTCCACCAGGTTTCCAGCCATCAGTGACATCTCAGCTAAGACTCCAGATTTCATGAAGCAGAGAAACTCTTGCTATGCAAATTCCTGCTCTACAGATTCACAAGTAAATGAAATGGCTGTTATTTTAAATCATTAAATTTTGGGGGAGTTTGTTTTGCAGCAATAGATAACTGAAACACAGACATTAGCATTTTATTTGCTGATAAAACTAAAAAGGCAATCTTCTAAAAAAAACACACACACAGATTTTCTTCATCACCTATATGAAAAAGTTTTAACTTATGCTTTTGGAGCTAGTGTATCCTTTAAATAGCTTAAGTTTACCAAATCTTTAAGTCATTTTTACATTAAAATGTCTTAGGGCTTTTGACAGCACAGACCAGGGAATGTCAAAATTTAGTGTCTGTTTTTTCAAATAGGAAGTAGAAAATTTAGCATTGATTCTGTTACTTAGAAATCATTACCTATGTTAACTGTTTTGGTTAATTGTTTACTAATTTTTGCCTAAGAAAACATTTTTTACTTTTCATTACACAATTTTTCAAAAATATATGAGATAGGACATTAGTATAAGGTACCCTCTTGCCACAGACCCCTCAGTCAACTTCAATGATCAGCATTCTGACATTCTTCTGAGAAATCAGTCTTATGATCATCCTTTCCAGAAGTAGACTTTCTTCCGGGAACTTTTGTCTGAACTGCATGGCACTGAACTTTTGTCTGAAATTGGCAGAGAACAAGGAAAAGAATATGAGAGGAAGGATGAGAAAAAGAGAAAAGTCATTCTATTGAAAATTTAAGAATCTCTTTTTCCATTCCCTTTAATCAGAAGACTTATTTTTCCACTTAGCACTGTAGTTAGCGAATCAAGGAATATTGACTCCGAAACTGAAATAAAGTGATTAGCCTCAGTAAATCCCTAGCAATAGCTGCAGTTCAGACTTTAATAAGTGCCTCTGATATAAACACTTCCGGAAACTGTTTCTCAAAGGGCATCCTGTTGCAGAAAGGTTTAAACAAAATTTAAACAAGATTTTGAACATAGATTTACAGTAGTTTCGTGACAAAAACTATGGCTTAAAATGTTTTAGGAGTTGCCGTGGGTTTTCAACTGAGGACATAGTGTGTTATACATTAGCTGCTTAATGTGTTCAGTTGCTGAATCCAAAATTGCTTGGAAGGTTTAAACGTTGGCAGCCTTAAAAACAAACACTAGTCCACGTTCCCAGCGCCTAAATGAAATCAAAGCAAACCTAATCATTTTCTTTCATATGACTAATAAAGATGTGGAAAAACAAGCTTCAGTTTTACATTTGAGCAGTAATCTTCTTAATTACATCTGGGTCACAAAATGCAAGGCTATGTTTCTTCTCCATAGTTGTAAAATGAAAGCTGAATATTTATATATTCCTTCTCCTGTATCATGTGACCACGGTGGGGCTCTAAGCAGCAGGCAGTAGGCCAATAGGAAATTTAATAGAGACCCTCTTTCTCTTTCTTTATTTGTTGGGGATGGGCAGGGGGAGGTGGAAATCTTTGTCAGAGTTGTATTTGTCTTGGGATCAGAGTTCTCTCTCAGTTTATGAATCTGTGGTGGGACAAAATGAAAGTGTAGATTAGATGAATGTAAGTAGGTAAAATAGGAATTTGCTGATAGAAGGTTGCTCAGCATTTTGGCAGGCCCAATGGTCTTGGAAAGCTTTTTGTAAGGCTGAGCTGATTTTGTTTGCATCTAAAACAATGTTAGACCCTGAGTGTTGAGCTGTAAGATACCTACTTTCATAGGTATTTCCCATTGAGGTAAATTAATTGTATGTTACTTTTTGAAGGTTCTTTAAAAATTTGATTCTCTTGGACACACAGAGAGCACCATGAAATATCAGCACACTTAGATGTCATAAGTTTCTTAATTATGGTTTGCAAAGGACAAAACACTAAAGGAGGAATATCTGAATTAAAGTTTTGACTAACTTTTCTTTAGTGAGTCTTGTTGGTATATCGCTACATATGCTTAGATTTTTTCATGCAATGGTCAATGTCTTAGTTGCTTTATATGTAAACTAGAGATAATGAAACCTGTACTATGTACTTGATATTGTTTGAAAAAATTAAATTACATTAACTAGCAGCTTGAAAACATGTTGAAAAAGTTCAAGTAGAGGATGCAAGCCTGATTGTGAACATTAGTGTTATTTATAGAGTGCTACCTCATGCAGAACAGAGCTTAGGATGGGGCGTTTCAAAGAAACATGCCAAATCTTACTATTAATGTAAACAAGATTGTAATTCTTAAGTAAATAATTTGTTTCCAAGACTAGGAAGATATATAAGGGTGAAATAAATATATGGATTTTGTCATTATTGTTTCCTTGCTATTAGCATTCACTGGTAGATCAGTAGGTATTTGGTCTTTATTCAAAGAATATATATGCATTGTGTGGAAATTTACATGCACACATTGATATTTCTGGCAACTGGTAGTCTGATAACACTAAATACAACAATCTAAAGGGACATTGTTGATGTGAAAAGTTAGAAACAGAGTTCTGTGAAGCACTGAGCTCTACCACGGGAAATATATCACTATAAGAACTTACTTAACTGTTTCTGTTTTCAATTACTGCATAACAAACCATTCCAAAATTTAGTAGCCTAAAACAATAACCAATTTATTGCTATAATCTGTGAGTGAGGAATTATGGCTGGGAGCAGTGGGGGCTGGCTAATTTCTGCTTCATATGGTGTGAACCAAAGCAGCTCAGTTGGGCTTGAGGAGCCAAGCTGGCCTTACTCACATGTCTGGGACTCAGTGCTGACTGTTGGCTGGAGCTCTTCAGTCTTCTCTACCTGGCTTCTCTCTCATTCTTCATGCCTCTTTTCACATGGCCTCTGCTTCAGAAGGATAGCAGCAGGTCTTTACATGATGGCCAGGGTCTAAAGGGAAAATGGAAACTGCAAGATCTCTGCAGATCTAAATCCAGAACTAAGAATAGGAATCACCTACCTCCTGACCCACTGTGATGTGAGAAAAACAAACTCCTAAATATTCAAACTATTCTGGCAGGGTATTCTGTTAGGTGGAGTCATGTAATCACTCCTGTCTGCTCCAACACCAAAGGCTGTCTTGTCGGGACTCTTAGCCTTTCTTCTTCTGCCCTCTGTGTTATTTAGTGTCAAACACCAAGGCTTTCCTTAGATAGCCAGTACTATCACTGTGTGGATTATTGTTTTAAATAAGAGTGGTGAGGATTTCACCATTTTATTTGCTTTGTTTTGGGTTAACCCCTTGTTAATAAGAACACTTAATTCAACAGAACATCTATGTTGCCCTGAGAATGACAAATTTTCTAGGTGAATTTGGTGAGAAGCCACTGCCCTATGAATTTCAAAAAGGATGCAGCAGAGACGGAAATGGTACAGGATGAAGAATTAACTGGCAACAGTAAACATTAATATTCCTGACAGCCCCCTAAAGAACCTTAAAGAAAAGGGAGACAGCCAAAGCTAATGGATTATTTTCATAAACCTTTACCTCAATAAATAGTTGTAGAAAATTAATCCAGTATCAGTATGATCATATGATTCTAATCATACATTCTTCCTCAAATGTCATAGCTGAGAACACGAATAAACCATATCTTATGCTTGAATATTTGTTAGTTAAATCACATCTTCGCTGGATGGCATGGTATCTGATAGATTGCAAAGTAGCAGATGTGTGGACTGAAAATCAGAAGACAGAAATTAGCTACTGCCCTATAGCCTACCCTTTCCAAGGCTTCTGAACTTTGAAAGGGATGCTAATTAGTTATTAGAAAATTGATTCAAGGACACGAGAACTTAAAAACACAAGAGATCACATGAAAATGGGTATTATCTTTGTGACAGAAAGGGTCCTTCCTGGCTTACTGTGTCTGAAGGTAATCTGCTTAAGAGAAACTATAAAGTAAGGCACAGGAGGGAAAAAGCCAAGGCCATTAAAAATGTCAGGCCAGCAAGGTCTTCAACTTTGAACTTCATCTTTTCTCCCTTTCTTTCCCTCTCTTCTTCTCCCCTTCACGGGGATCAGCCACTCTTGGTGTTTTTCCTCAAGTGGACATAAAAATGGATCTGATCCATCTAGTCTTGACAGACTGGTCCATAGATTTCCATGAGGACCGACCTCTTTATTTCAGAGCTGTGTGATAAGCTGAAATCCTAGATGATTTACTCCACTGAGGACCCAGAGGACTGCATTCAAAATACAAAAACTCATGCTGTGAACACTGCTGAAGAGAAGCACCCTCTCTGTTGACTGATCACACTTCCTACTTGTGATCACAAATGGGCGCACAATGTTTTTTTTTCTCAGCCTCAGTGTTGGCTTCTCCTCACCTACCTGATGGCTCAAATGTTTTGGTACTTTAGAGTGAGTCCTCTTGCCTTCACGGTTTCCTTGGGTGAATGCTTTTAGGTCTGTAACTTTAAATAACCTGTCTATATGATAATAACTTCCAAATTCATATCTCCAAACCAGATTTCTCTCATATATTCTGGGCTTCTAGATCTACATGCTACTTGGCATCTTCTTTTAAATGTTGACAGGCATCTTAAACTTAACATATTTTTAAAATAATTGCCCCTCTCTATCAATACACATACACACATGTGCACGTGTGTGCACACGTGCACACACACACACACACACACACACACACACACAAACATCCCTTCCTTTTCTAGGACTTCCTATATCAGCAAAGGCTCCATCCTACCTCCATTCATTTAATTGTTCAAGACAAATAGCTAGAAGAAATTTATTATTTTTCGCTTTTACTCTCCCCAAAATGGATTCTATCAGCATGTTGAGGCAATCCAATCTCTAAAACTTATCTAGAATCTATCTTATTCTCCCCATTTTTACTATTAACACCTTAGTCTAAGTCGGGAAGACACCATTGCAAATGGATTAAACCACTCACTTCCTAACTGTTTTCCTTCCTTCTTTTTCTTTTCTTTTTTTTTTTCTTTTTTGAGACGGAGTTTTGCTCTTGTTACCCAGGCTGGAGTGCAATGGCGTGATCTCGGCTCACCGCAACCTCCGCCTCCTGGGTTCAAGCAATTCTCCCGCCTCAGCCTCCTGAGTAGCTGGGATTACAGGCACATGCCACCATGCCCAGCTAATTTTTTGTACTTTTAGTAGAGACGGGGTTTCACCATGTTGACCAGGATGGTCTCGATCTCTTGACCTCGTGATCCACCTGCCTCGGCCTCCCAAAGTGCTGGGCTTACAGGCGTGAACCACCACACCCGGCCTATTTTTCTGACTATAATAAATTTCCATACAGGAGTGGAAACAGTCTTCTTAAGAATGTAAATCTGATCATGCCACTCTTCTTCATAAAAACATTGGATACCTTCTCAGATACATAGAATAAAATTTCCTTGCTTAAAGCCCCACATTATCTGGTCCTGCCTGTCTGACCCCCGATCCTACAGCCCCTCTTGCCTCCTGAGTATGTTTTCAACCCATAGTCCTTTTTTCTGTCTCTCAAACACATCAAGTTCACTCCTGCCTTAAATCTTTTTCATCTGCCATCCTTTTTTGCCTGGAATATCTTTCATCCAGGAAAGATATCATGGATGGATTCTTCTTGTCATTTAGTTGTCATTTCAGATGCCATCTCTTCAGATTGTCCTTGTCAACCACGAATCGCATCATTCTCTTTTATTTCTTCACAGCACTTCCACCGTGTGAGACTGTTTATGGAATATCTCCTGGTAAATTGTGAGCTCCCGAAACAGGAACCATGCTTGTTTACTTCTCTACTGAATCTACAATACCCAGAATAATGTCTGGCACATACTGCTCTTTCAGCAAATATCTGTTCAATATAAGACTTCAGACTGGCACCTAGATGTTCAAAGCCTAATTCTTAGGTGAGTGAACATATGAGTGATGCAGGACATTTCATGGTACTGCTCCTGGAAAGGACTCTCCTCCTCCATACCTCAAATCCACCCCACTCTATTTGGACGAGTCTGTCTTGGGATTTGGGCCAATATATACATATTGACCTAGTAAGATTTCAAAGCAAGGAATGGGTGTTTTCGTTTTTTTTTTCCTAAATCAATTATTTGTCCAAACATATTTCAATAGGTATAGGTATTTTTACTTTATTGGAGAGAATTATTATCAAGACAGAAAATGTTCTTTCTACATTTATTTTAGGCATAGGATTCTATAAGACTCTTTTTCTTACATTTTTTTTCTTTACTTAAATATGGAGGAGTTACTAACGGTGTTTATGTAAACTGTCTTCTATACATAGTAGAGTCAAAAGCTAAGCGGATGTCTTGACTTGACTTGTCTTCCAGATTTCTGCATATGTACAAGAGCAGAAGTCATTTTCATGGCCAAATTCATTTCCATTTCTCTTGAACTATGCGACATGTTTTCCCTATCTGTTAATGGTGAACTTTAAGGATTTTGCCATTGCAAAAACAAAGTGTAGTTTTATTTATTTATCTATTTAATTCCTGGTGCTAAGCCATCATAACTCCATTTAAAAAATATTCTTATTTGGAAAATTTAATGCAAATTCAAATTTAGAGTAGTAAGATACATCAAATCACATGTCATTGTTGAAGTGAAAATTTGACTAGTCTGATACTTTGTCTCCAAAGAATATTTTTAAAATGTAAATTAATTGATTTACTCTTCACAGAAAATAAAAATGATAAATTTCTGTGCATTTAGAAACTACCAAAGATTCTGGTTCACTTATACAATGGAAGCAATTTTAATTGACATATTTATTTTAAAATCAAGAATTTGTATGCATTTAAAAAATAAAAATTGGGCAGTTTAGAAACACCATATATAAGCATGTATATATATATATATATATATTCAAGTATAAAATATTACTTAGACTTATTTTTTATGTTTTTTCCAATCTTATAAATCATTTGTCAGAAACCTTTACGACTTTTTAATTGAGTAGCAGTTTTTTCTTTTTCAGGTAAAAGTACTGAAACTAGAAACAGGTCAAAAATTTAAAAATACTGTCTAAATATGATTATTGTTACAGAGTATTTTTTGTTCTTGGGTGTTGTCTTTTTAACTAAAGTAGCATGAAATATGGGAAAGCAGTATAGATAGGATCAGAATGCATGATGTCATGGAAAAAAGAACGAAAGAGAGATTATAAGTGTTCTGGTTTTGGTTCTAGGACTCACTAATCATCTGCATTTATAGATAAACTATACTCCTTTGGGTCTAAGAATTTCCAAACACATTTTCAGCAAACTCTCTGGAGGATATTCATATGCATTTCACTAAGAAAGATTTCAATAATAAAAAAATTGGGGTGTATGTTATATAATATTCTGGTGTAGTCTTGAAAATTTATTAAAATATTATATTAAAGAATTAAAAAAATAAGAAAAACAAATATGATGTTAAAAACTTGCCTTTTCCCAAATATTGTTACTCACAGAATATTTATTTCTTTTTTTCTTCACAAATCCTTCAAACATTTTCTCAGAACACCTATGAAATCTTGCAAATCAAGTGTTCTGTAGTAACACACTTTAGATAAGGTCACTACAAGGTTCTTAAGGTTCTTTCAAACCCCAACCATCTATATTCTTTATATCAAAATGATAAAACTATCATTTTGAGGAGACAAGAGACCAAATTTTCAGAATTACCCTATACTTATTGTCGAAATGTAATATAATCAGTCAATAAAATGTAGAACTTTCTCTTACCACCCTGTCAACCAAAAATCTAAAGGTGTAGAATTTACATCTACTTAAGGCTTGCTTAAAAAATTCTGATTACATAAAACATGGAGAAAGATAAGCCTGAGAATGTTTACTCTGTTTCCTGTTTGTTAGATTTGATGTCCTCCTTTGGGGCCCCAAATTATGTGTTTGTCATCATGTTGCTTTGGAGAGGAGAGAGGAGAATGATCACTTAAAATCAAACCTTGGGGACAGTTTCATTGGGGAAAAAAAAGCCCACGAGAAAGAAGCACCAGCTTTCTGCTTATATTATAGTACAATTGCCATAGATCCATTTAAACTGACAATGCCCAACAGATGCAATCATTTGTGGTGCCACAGTGTTTACCTTCTCTGCTTAGTTCCCTTGAAGAAATTAATGAGCCATCTTTATGTTTGAGGCCCTGGGCCAGGCACTGGAAATGTGCATGAGTAAAACATCGTTCCAACACACTGTGATAAATGTTCTGATGGGTAAATGTGCAGGATATTAAAAAAAAGACAAATCCAGTTTGAGTATATACAGTCTAGGAAGAGAAAATACGAGAGAAATAAAGTACAGCAAGAACACCAAAGTAAATGAAGAAAGAACTTTAAGGTGGAAGCTAAGAACAATTGTTGGTCCTAGAAGGAAATGGGGCCAGAAGACATGGGACATAGTTTCTGCTATGGTTGGATATTTATCTCCTGAAACCTCATGTTGAAGGTTGATCCCCAACGTTGGAGGTGGAGTCTAATGGGAGGTGTTTGGGCCACAAAGGCTGATCCTTCATGAATTGCTTGGTGCTGTCCTGCTGTCCTCATGGTAAAGAGTTCTTGCCCTATTAGTTCCTGTGAGAGCTGATTATTATTAAAAAGAGCCTGGCATCACTCCCAGCTCTCATTCTGTCTCTGGCTATGTGATCTCTGCACCTGCTCACTTTCCCTTCAGCATCTGCCATGAGTGGAAGCAGCCTGAGGCTTTCACCAGATGGCCAATAGTCCAGCAAGCAGAATTATGAGCCAAATAAATCTTTTTTCTTTGCGAATTACCCAAATGTGTGTGTGTGTGTGTGTGTATATATTTTTTTTTTTTTTGAGGCGGAGTTTCGCTCTTGTTACCCAGACTGGAGTGCAATGGCTCGATCTCGGCTCACTGCAACCTCCGCCTCCTGGGTTCAGGCAATTCTCCTGCCTCAGCCTCGTGAATAGCTGGGATTACAGGCATGCGCCACCATGCCCAGGTAATTTTTTTGTATTTTTAGTAGAGAATGGGTTTCACCATGTTGACTAGGATGGTCTGGATCTCTTGACCTCGTGATCCACCCGCCTCGGCCTCCCAAAGTGCTGGGATTACAGGCGTGAGCCACTGCGCCCGGCCCCCAGGTATGTTTTTATAGCAACACAAATGAAATAAGATAGTTGCCATAGAAAAAATGAGCCAGGAAGGGCAAGTCTCAGTAGTTAATGGATCCAATTTCAAAGAAATTTATCAGAGGATTCTAGACTTTAAGAGAAAGGGGTCCTTGAAGCTTATTAACCTGCTCATAGCACAATTGAGTACACGAAAGTCCAAGACCACAAAGCAGGTTTGTGGCAGAAACAAGACTGGAAGCTAGAAAGTTTGACTTTAAGCTTATTTTTCACTGTTTTATTATTTAAATTATGTAGGGATCCTGTGATTTTTAATTTTTAAATTTTTTTAAACCATCATACATAGTTTGAAATAAGTAGACCATTGTTTATGGGATAAAAGATGGGTTTTAATGACTTTTATTTTGATGAGACTTAAGCCACGAAACATTAAGCAATTTTAAGAAAGCTATGAACCATTAAACAATTTTAAGAAAATCCATATTAAAGGGACAAAAGTTCAGCCTGTACACAGAGAAAATGGCAAATAGCAGATTCAAGGAGCATGAGGAAGAAAGAATTGACCTAGTCTCTGATGATATATGGAGGCGATGAGTGGAAAGGAAGGAAGACATCAAAACTAATTCATATTTCATTTTCAAGTGACTGGAAGAATGTTGATACCATTGCCAGCTGGAAGTAGCCTGTAGGGTAGGAAAGCAATGCTGATGTCTGCAAAGGGGAGAACACAAAGGCTGCGATGAGAAATTGTCTGTAGAGTAGAGATGGAGAACTGGACAAGACAAATTCTCTGCAGGGAGAATCAATAGCACCTGACTATAGACTGTATATAATGAATGAGGCCAAATGAATTTAAAAATCATGAAGGAAGAGCATGTGGCCTGCTATAGGGATGGAGGTCAGGAAAGATCTCTGGAACAAGCATTAATATTTTCTGTACATGAAAAACTGCTATAAATAATCATAAAATTTTAGGTCTAGAGGAAATATAGCAGGTAATCGAGTTTTTTCTGCCTCTAAAATATTACACCTTAGGCTTTAACAATGGGTAATGCAGAGTCTGTGGTTTGTCCTATTTTTAATAACTTCCCTTGATAAAATATTTGAATAACTATCAATCATTTTATTACTAAATCATTCCACATGCATAACTGTGGGCTGTTATTTCTATTTGGTCCATTTCCTTAAATTTAAATCAAGAATAGATAAATCACTAAGGCATTACCTCCATTCCACTCCCTAGAGGTATTTGAGAGAGAACCTTTTTAGTCTTCTATTCTCAGAACTACACTTTCTAGTTTTGTGAAGTTTTCCTCATGGACACTGCATATCAACTTCAGTGATACTATTCTGTCTGTCCAGCTTCAATTTGCCTATAAACTATTTTAGCTGAAGAGACAAGAAACAGAAATAGTTTTCTTGTAAACAAAACAAAAACAAAACCGAGCAATATTCAGATATTGGATCAATATATTTTATTTCCTGCAAGTTCTAGTTTTATTTATGTAGCTGGAAAGAACCTTTTAGAACTTGTTAAAATAGTGCTATGCATTTTATACAAAATTGGTTTGATATGTAACATATAAAGCCTCCCATTAAACCCTCCAGAATACATAAAAATACTTTTGCCTTCCTTTGCCAGACATTGGCAATTGCTTTGGAAAATATGTAAATAACTTGTTGAAATACTTTCCCAAGCTCCTTTTTCAGCATTCTTTTCTTTTCAATTGAAAGACTTAACTCCAGTACCACAATTTAATATAACACAGGAACATATTTTCCAGGTAGTGCAGAAATAATAAATGGAGAAGATTCCCACAGCTTCCAGAGCCTGCTACTTAACATTACTCTTCTGAATCTACAGAAAATAAATTGATCCATTGATAGTTTTAATAGATGTCTGAGAAAATAAAGACAGTGTATCATTTCCTGTCAGTGGCAATACTCATCTCTCCTGTGTAGCAGCAACTCTTTAGGATCGCTCATCATCGAGACATTATAGATATTTGCAGAGGGAAATGAGAGGGCATAAGTTATTTTATTTATAGGCAATTCGAATTCTGCCTGCAAAGAATTTATAGCAACACATAAAAAAGCTAAAATACTGGCATTCTCACTTTCGATCCTGCCCATCCTTTCAAGTCCCTGTCCCTAAAAGTCTTCATTTTCTCTTCCAAATTTTCCAAAATGTTTCCTTCACATTTTCGAATACATTCTTGTGAGCTCACCTCTTTTCTGTCTGTATAAAAGTAAGGTAGCTATACTGGTCTCTTTGTCGATAACTTGAATTTTTCACTTTGACCTTATTTAAAGTGTGCAAATATTTAGCTTGTGAATAATATCAATTATGTAAATATGTATTTACACATTCTATTTTATTGAAAAGACATCATGTGTCATGCATATTCTCTATTGTTTTTTCTAAAATGTAGCAAAATGCTATAAATGCGGGTGTAAAAAAGAGGGACAGAGGACAACTCATGGATTGGTGAAGATTTGTGTGAGTTAGATTAAGTTAATAACTATTCATGGGGTTGACAAATTTTATTGCGTTGCTTGTGCCATGCAGTACAGGGTCTTTTTAGACAAGCTCATTGATTTGATGTATTTATAGCAGAATTTTCTAAAGTGTTGTCAGAGGGCCACCTTCATAGAATCAACTCTAATGTTTACACATTGCAGATACCTGTGTCCCATATGAGTCTGACTGAATAAAAATTTCTAAATGGAGAGGGCCTTAGAATCCACATTTTAAGCAAGCAATTCAGGTTATTCTTCTCACATTAAAACACCTGAGTATCACTTGTTGATTACATGTTAATAAAACAACATGTGTGTTTTAACGCGGATCTCCTTCTTGAAATTGAGAATCTGTTTCTAGAGGGAGCTATTTGTTAACTTTCTTGAGGGCTCTGTGGGTATCTCATATTCACTACATGCTTCATACCACTAAACCTGAACTTCCTTTTTCACCTGTCTTGCCAATCAAAAGCCTAAGAGTCACCCTAGACTCTGCCCACACGCTCGTCCTTGGCACCCAAATCATAAATAAGAGCACTCGCGTCTAGCTTTAACAATTCTTGTGTCTTATCACCTCCTCTTCAACCTCACCTTTCTAACATGCCAGCTTCTAATGAATTCCATCTCTAAAGTGATGAGACCCAGCAGAACGCATCACTGCCCTTTTGGAGCCCCTACAATTGGCACAACAAGGGCGAACAATGGGAACGATCTGTCACCTGTGCAGGTAAGAAGTCTTTGTTTTGTTACTGTTTGTGAAGAATTCTAAAACAATAATAAAACTGTTGGTTTGCTTTAATTATCACCATTAAGCAATGTTAGTAATAAAATATCCCTTGCCTCTAAACTGTTTCCACCCCTTCCCTTGACACACAGTAGGCTCACACTATATACTTTCTGCATGTTTCTAGTATCTTCATACATGCCACTTATAACAGTCTGTTTATATGTTTGTCCAACTCCCTTCACTCTGAGTTCTTTTTATATTTTATATTTCCATACCAACAAGCAAAAACTCTGCATTATACACACTTAATAAATATGAGTCTTGCCTATTGGAATAAATTTATTATTATAACATATACAAGAAATGGATTAAAATGCAAGACAAGATTTGTGTATCTGCACACTCATTTTCAAAACACTCTAGAAATTGTGAAAAAGATATTTTAGAATTACAATATGTAGCTATGGGAAACATAGAAATGTCATCAGTGGATTAGGTAATTTAAAGAATAATGAAGTGAGAAAGTCAAGTGAGTATGACTCTTTGAATAAATCACTCCTCTAACACTGGCTGAAGAATACATTAAAACACAAAGACAACTAATATACATAGAGAAAAATAAAGCATATTTCATCTGGAAGAAAGAATAGTTTTTCCATGAAAAAGGAAAAACTAGACTGTAAAAAATATCATTATGGGTATAAGCAGAAACTTAATTCTCAACAGCAGAACGGAGGCAGCAGAAGAGTGAACTGTTGAACAGAAATATTGAGCCAGAGAATTGTCCAACATTTACCACCAAAGAGCAAAAGAGTAAGAACTTTGAAATCATAGTTAAAAGGTGGAGAGCATAGATATAGAATTTAAAATGTTCTTTTCATAAGAATTACAAAAGGAGAAAGCAGTAACTGGAAGACAGGAAATAAACACATAATATTTAAGAAAAAAACTTGATAAAGTAAAACACAGAACCTTGAAATAAAAGTGCTTTCCAAGTGCCTACCAAAATGAATGAAAACAGAGAAAAAAATATCTGTATCTAAGTATATCATGTGGTAAAATTTCAGATTTCCAAAGATAAAGACAATATTCTAATAGCTTCTGGAGACAAACCATGACACAAACACGTTGCCTATAAAACATAATGCATAAATACAAAGATCACCGCTTATTCCTTCTCTTGCGCCTTCCTTGTCAGCATCCTTCATGCATTGAACGGACTTTGGAACTGTCAGTATCGAAGGTTGACTTTGTTTATCAGTATTTTCTACATTTTATTCAACTTTAAAACTGTTTAAAAACAGCTTTCTGTCCTATTGATCAGCTCCCAAAGCAGCTCACCCCTTTGCATCCCCACCAGCAATTAATGAGAGTTCCCATTGTTCCATGTCCTTGGTAGCATTTGGTGTTGTCAGTGTTTTAAGTTTTGGCCATCTTAATAAGTGTGTAGTAGTGTCTTATTGTTGTTTTAATTTGCAGTTCCCTAATGACATAATGTTGAGCATCTTTTCATATGCTTATTTGCCATCTGTATATCTTCTTTAATTAGTTGTGCAGGTCTTTTGCCCATTTTTAAATTGGGGTGTTTATTTTCTTATTGCTGAGATGTAAGAGTTTCTTGTATATTTTGGGTAACAGTCCTGTATTAGATATGTCTTTTGCAAATATTTTTTCCCAGACTTCTTGTTCTCTTGAGACAATTTTTTTTCTAATTCTAGCATTTTGAAGACACTGTTTCATCATAATCTGGCTTCCATTGTTTCTAATGAGAAATTAGCTGATCTTCATACAGTTCTATGCACAGAATGTATCTTTTTCCTGTTTTCAAGATATATATTTTTCTTATTTTTATTTTTGAGACAGCTTGTCACCCAGGCTGAAGTGCAGTGGTGTGATCTCGGTTCACTGCAATCTCTGCCTCCTGGGCTCAAGCAATTCTCCTGCCTCAGCCTCCCAAGTAGCTTAAGATACGAAAAATTAGCCGGGCATGGTGGTGCACACCTCCTGGATTACAGCATACACCACGATGCCCGGCTAATTTTTTGTATCTTTAGTAGAGATGGAATTTCACCATGTTGGCCAGGCTGGTCTCCAACTCCTGACCTTGTGATCTGCCCACCTTGGCCTCCCAAAGTGCTGGGATTACAGGTGTGAGTCACCGCACCCGGCTTTATCAGTTTGACTTTGCTGTCTTTGGTTATGATTTTCTTAATTTTATACTACTTCGTGAGGTCTGAGACTGTTAAATCTTTTTGTTCATATTTTTGGAGCAAAATTTGACACTTTTAAAGCAATTTCTTTTTCCACTTTTTTTTTAATCATGTTTTCTCTCTTCTCTCCTTTTGGGACTTCAATTACACATGTATTATACTACTCAATACTGGCTCATAAGTGATTAAACGAGTTTTTAAAATTTAATTCACTTTTCTTCTTTTCTTTGGCTGGGATAATTTTTCTAAGTTCGCGAACCCATTCTTCTGTTTTCAATGTGCTATGCCTATCCAGGAAGTTTTTCATTTTAAGATTACACTTTTTAGTTCTAGATTGCATTTAGTTGTTTTTCATAGTATTTAATTCTCTGCTGAATTCTTCCATCTTTTCATTTATTGAGATCACTTTTTCAGTCCTTAAACATACTTATCATAACTTTTACATGTTGTCTATTATTCAACATTAGGAGTCATCTTTATGTTGTAAAAACAGTTGAAACCACTATTTTCAGATAATCTATATTTGCCTAGAGAATCAACCTTAAAGCTATTAATACTAGTGAGAACAACTTAGTGAGTTGTATAAATAATGCACTATACAATAATCATTATGTTCCATGTATAAATAAACCCAACTAAAATATATATGACTTATTTTAAAATACAATTTTTATTGACACAAACTAAGATGGAAATTGTTTTGAATAAGATGTCTCAGTATTATCAAGACGAATGTTCTTCCAAAATGGATCAAATTCATGATAATTCTAATTAAAGTCTAGATAGGAATTTTTTGTGTGTTTGAAATTGCTTGGTGAACACCTAAGTCCATCTGGAAGAAAAAAGCACCAACAGAAATCTAGAAAGAATTTAAAGTAAGATTAGAGACCAGATATTATAATATACTAAAAAAGCTGTAGTCATTAATGTATATAAACATTGGTTTTGGCACCTTCAGTACAAGCATTTTATTCCAAAGTACCATCATATTTTCCCTCTATTAGTCATTACTTTTTAAACTGTTATTTCTGCTTCCACTATTTCCTCTGTCATTTATTCTCACCCCAGCTGCTAGATTAACCCTGTTAAAATATAAATCAGATGATGTCATTTCTAGACACAGACTGCCAATGGCTTCCCATCTCACTCAAAATAAAAGCTGAAATTCATACTGTAACTACAAAGTCATATAAGATCTGTTATTTGTTTCTATTTTGTCATCTTGTATTGTCCCTCTTCATGATTGTCCTTGATGTTGAGCAATCACACTGGATATGCCCCTGCCTTGGGAAGAAGCAACTAGATAGGGTGGAAAGGAGCCTGAGTCACCTCTAGCAGGTAGCAGGGCCTCTGCAGTGAAGCCATGAAGTGAGCAGAACACTCTGGATCCTGAATTAGAGGCTTAGCAAGTCAACACTGTTCACAGTCGTGGAGCTGGCCTCTGGAGGTCATGTCCACATGTCATGTCTGGAGCTGACTAGTCACTATAATAGGTAGCTTCTTCTAGCAGATGTAGAATGCTCTGGTTGCAGCAGTGATGAGAAAGAAAGCCATTGGTATCGTGTTTCTCAATACACACAATTTACTTAGTGTCTTAATTTTGAGGTTCTTATTCCTTTCCTCTGGACATTTGTTGAGCTTTGACAGTCCTACCCTATCTCTTACACTGTACATCAGAGAGAGAAGAGAGATTTGCTGGAGAAAACTCTCTTCTCTCCTGGAAGCACCCCTGACTTCCTTTGACATTTTCCCCCTTCCTCAGATGCCATCGTTTCACAATGCATGCTTTTGTCTGCTTATTCAAACTAATGCTTCCCCTCTCCAGCCCAGGGGCTGTTCTGCTCACCTTTGTCAAATGGTGTTACTTATGATATGCACCCAGGCAGCATTTTATTTCTGTCTACATAAAGAGCTGCTGTAGATGTTTTCACTGAGGGGAAAAGATACTGTATGATGAGGCATCTGCCTCCAAAGGCATACATGTGCTCTTTCTGGGGTATAAATGCCTAATTTGAGATCATTTTCAAGAGCGCATGGAGATATAGAAGAGGAAATAATACTGGCTATCATGTAAGAGGAAAGGAGTAGTGTAGAGAAGAAGTTTGCTTTGCCCACTTAACACATTTTATTTAATGCTTACTTTAAATATTAAGTAGAATGTCAGGTGTGAGGCAGAAGCCTTTTATAATATGGCAATGTTCCACCTTAATAGAAAAGATCCCACTCAGCATTTTGAAGTTTGTTTTATTTTACCTGGACAAATTTCAGAGCCGTTTTCTTTCTTTTTAAATACTCATTCTAACTAGGAAGCACCATTGATTGCAAAGTGTAAATTTTTTCGAATTAACTTTTCAGTGCCATGGCCAAAGCTTTTTAAGGAAACATTTAACCTTAGAAATTCATAGTTTAAGTCTTTTTCTGCATCAACCAAATTTCATTTCTTCTCTGGCTAGTCAATAATCTCCATAATTTCTTTAACTCATTCTTCCAAGCTGGTGATGTATTTAGTTGCTGTCACTGACAAGAGCAGTCTAAATAATGACACAAATAAGCAAAGTGATTTAGGTGACAGCTTGTTGGCTTTGTCACAATAGACAGAAGACCTAGTTGGTAGAGAGTTGCTAGCAGGGTGATTTTAGATAAATGGTGAGAATAAATTTTACGTTTTATTGTTAAAGTAATTTTCAAAGTTAATTGTAACATAATATGTAGAGCTCTGTAAAGAGGAATAAAAGTCACTGAAATTAAAGCTCTATGACCTGGGGATGAATCTTGACCAAATATCTTCAT